TAGGATCTTTTGACAACTCCAGGCTATCATCTTACTGGCAAACACAATGTTGTGAGGTTTTAATGCCTCAAAATTCAGACAAACGATTTCACCTGGTGAATGAAAACTGTTACTGAAGTCTTGGGTTTTGCTCTTCCCCCAATTGATTTTGCTTCTTTCTTCTTCTTGGCTTCTTCTGTGAGCTGGTTCAGGGGTGTTGGTTATAATTATGTAGGTCTAAGGACATTGACAAGTTCTTTGGGTAAATGTGATATATTTTATTATATCAACTAAATAGTTGGAAAAAAATGGTTCTTTGCAAGCTTTCAGGCACAACCACCCTTCTTCAGGCATAGGGAGAGTGTGCTGGTGTTTTGTGTGCTCTTCTGTTCCACCCAGGAGAGTACAACAAACACCAGCAGACTCCCTATGCCTGAAGGGTGGTTGTGCCTGAAAGCTTGCAAAGAACACTTTCCCCAGCTATTTAATTGATCTAATAAAAGATATCACATTTACCCAAAGAACTTGTTACACTTCTTGTTTGTGAGCTGGTGAACTTTGATACTGCTAGAGGCCTCTTACAAAGGGGTAACCATGCAACCAGGGATATGGGTCCTAAGTGTCATCTTGGCTAGTTATTTGACTCAAGTGTAACTCCACTGACTTTAGTTGGGATGTCTGTGGCTTGTACCAGCATGAAACCACTTGTCTTTGAAGTCTCCAACAGTGCTGGCACGTAGCATTTGGTTCTGGTCTAGTGGAGATAGTGCAAAAATTTACATGCAGAATTATCTCCTTCATTTGCCTGGTGACATCAGGAAAACCAACAATGCTACTTTGTATTTGAGACATTTCCACCCATTAGTCACTTCACAAAGCTGGAGAAGTAACAATCTGAACTTTAGAGATGGGGTACCCAAGGACACAGAAGTTAACTGTCTGGCCCAACATCACACAGTACGAGTTATTTAAAAAGCAGGGGGGGGGGGGGGGGGGGGTGAAATAGCATCTCCCGATTCTTCTCATCTTATAGAAGAGATAAAGAAAAGACAGCATAAGGAGGGGATAAAAAGGAAGAAAAACAAGAAAGAAGTACAACAAGCAGGAAGAGGGAAACGAAAGGAAAAGTGGCTTTTTTTTTTTAAAAGCACTGCTGGTTCATAAACTGACTGTTACAGAGTTACTCATTAACATGAAAACTGCCCTTCAACCAGACTTTACAACTTGCTACTGCAGATCATAACCATGGGTGCTCCCACCCCTCTCTCTTGAATAACAAAGCCCCAAAGCAAAAAAAAATAGAAATATGAACACACATCTTAATGGTGTTAGCAAAATGGAAGGTCGCTCTGGGTAAGCAAACTTTTCCTTTTCCAAGACTGAACAGCCCTCAGGACGTGCTGAAACAGTGTAGCACATGTCCAAGGAAGAAGAAAGACAGAAGCATGCATTATTATCAGAGAACAAGGCTTTTCAAAAATTACCCAGGATGTTAGGTAGGAAAGGGTTTAGTGGGATTTTCTCCATCCCATCTCAAATATAGTTAGAGAGACACTACACTGTATACAATTTTTATTCTATTTTCAGAGACCTAAATTCTAGCACAAAGAGATCTCCAGGATGGGAGGAGGGGAATTAGCATTAGTATACAAAATGCCACCTGGAGATCCAAACCAGATCCTCACTCCCAAAGGGGAAATGACAGGATGCTTTCAGTTCCTGTATGCTCCTGTATTAATTAGATCCTGTACACTCACACGCCTGATCTCATTTGGAAGCCAAATCATCCTATCAAGACAGTTTGTTCTTTGTCCACATCTGTAAAAAGGGAATGGAAAATTTCACTTCTGAGTTCCAGAATTTGATAGGCAATGCAGATTTTTCCAAATGTCCTGGGAGACAAACAATTATTTTCCATAACTGCAGTTTGAGGATGTGGAGACCATTTTCAAGGACGTGAATAGATGCTGGGGAATATGACCATGTTTCAGATAACAGCATGTGTAGGATAATTCAGAGCAAAGATTGACTGAAAGACTGCCAAAATGAACATGGCAAAATTGAAACGATTAGTGTCTCATGAACTACCAGGGATAGGAAGAAAATATTTTATGCCACCAGCATTTTCAGATACATAGTGGCTATACAAGTCATTTTATTCTCCTGTGGCAGACTGATACATATGATCCCTTGTTCTTATGATTTCAATATGTATGTTTACATACATATGCAAACACACAAACTTTAACTTGATTTAATGACTGTTTTCAGCATATGAGATCCAGAAAGGTGTAATATCTCACGTTACAACATTTTGTTTTAAACCAAACTGGACAGCTCACAAGTTGTCCATCAATAAATACATAAGCTAGACCAATGTTTTCCATGGGTAGGACAACTGGAAACATCCTTTATCAATGCAAACTATGGGTCCAATTCTGACACCCTTCCTGACACGAGTAGGACCCACTACAACTAGTCCCACCAATTTCAGTGGGGTTAATCATCGACTAGAATATGATTTACCAGACCAAATCCTCAGCTAGAGCAAGCTGGTACAGCTCCCCTGAAGTCTATGGGCTACACAAGCTGTTCACTGGCTGAGTTGTGGCTCAGCATAAGCAAGGATGGTCAAATAAGACCCCATCTTTGAATATGAAACTTCCAGAAAGAATCTGTATGACAAGTTAACAGCAGCAACAATACAAATTGTTGGAAAGACAAATTGTGTGGAAAGTCACAAGGGCATCAACCACCTTAGTATAAGCAGAGCTTAACCTACCAACGTTAAGTTTCTTTTCAAAATTATTGCGTCAGCTGCCCATTGCAACTGCCTCTTAATTATTTATGCAATTCATAGTCAGTTTAATTAAGCTAATGTATGCAATGCCTTCTAGAAGAACCAGCAGTGGTTTAACATTGTATCCTGTACAGTATGTTCTGTACCTTAGACTCCTGATATTTTCCTGAAACAAGGCATTAGTCTCTACACTGAATTAAAGGTTAACCTCCCCCAAACAGCAGCATAATTTATCACATAACAGGTTCGGTTGTTCACTGAAAAATATGCCAGAAAATATCCCCCATGCTTGACTGAGCCTTTTATTGTAACGAATGAGGTGAGATGTTACCTGATTAGGCTGAATTTTGGGCACATGTGCTTTCCACATCTGGGCTTCCCTAGAGATTGCCATCTCCAAAAGGAGAGACAATCTCTGGCTCTCCAGGGGTCCTGAAAACTTCATGGTAACCCTTGGATCTGCCAGCCACCCAACTGGATACAGCTACCTGTGAAAGCAAACAAACCACTGATGAACTATACCAGGACAACGCATTTGAAACAAGTGTAAAGACTGCTACAGAGAGAGCTGCAAAAATTGGAACAATACAAACAGCTGATAAAGAAAGCACTTTACCAATCAGCTTCTGATAAATATTTCAACTGAATGCTATAAACAAAAAATTTGACACTTGAGTCAAAAATAAAGGACTCCCTCATCATTAATCAATCTTTCATGATGCGGCCCTTATAGAAAATTGAACAGTGCAAAGGAAGGACAAAAATTAATAGCAGCAAGTACATGTAATTTAGTCTATCAACATGTGGGAAGATATCGAAAAACCATCTCTGAAAGTGCATTCAAATTAGGAACATGGCACTGACAGGGCATCTGAGCCAGACAGGATGGCTCCCCAGAAGCAATTATAGTTACTTGGTGACCAACCTACTTTATGTTACTGGTATTCCCATTGAGAATGTGTTGTTTAGAATGAAAAAAAACCCAGAGTCCTGCCTCCTAATTGACTGCCATTGAGATTTTCTGCTGCCTGCATGCTGCTCATATATACTTCAAGTCCATTTCCCACATGATGGGCCAGAGGAATTAGGCCTGGACCATAAAAAACAATGCGTTCCATGTACACCCGTGACAGAACCTGATATCATCTGGGCTTCCATGCAAAACTAAGGGCTGGTCTACGTAAGCAATCTGCAGGACTGGGACCAAGACTGGAAAAATGCCTCTATTAAAACCCTATTGGGACATCTCCCTCTATATTCCCCTCTACTCTCCTGCAAGGAGAGCCCAGACAAGAAAAAGTTTCTATCATGCTCTGGAGGTCAACAAATGGAGGCTGAATCACATTCAAACAGGGCGGATAGAGGACCTCAAGAGGTCCAACCCCTGACCATGCTTGTCCCCATGCTGGCCCAAAGTGGGGAAAAGATTTCAGGCTCCTACACTCCTTTCCTCCTCCAAGGTGGAGGGCGGCTAGTTTAAGCACTCCCATTTCTGTGCTCTCTGTAGATACAGTCTTTAACATGCACACACCATAAACCAGTAAGGGTTGAAAACAGACATGGGGAGGGAGTGAATTTACAGTGGATTTTCAAAAGCAGATCTCAATGGCCCAACTTTCACTGTAGTCAGACAGATTTTCCAGTGAATTCAGGGGAGAAGTCAGGCTAACACCTTAGAAATCCCAGCCTGAATGTTTTTCTCCACATCAACCTTTACCTCACATACTGCTGCTGGTTCACATCATTTCCAAAGAGTACAAATTCACAAGAGTACCCAAGACTGAGGAGTTCAAGTCCAATCAAAAGTCAAGACAACTTCAGCACTATGTTTCATCCCAGGGGATGTTTTATAACAGCTAATGCTAACCCTAATGCAGACAGGGTTTAAATGACTCACAATCTGGATTGTCAGAGGGGAGATTTTCCTTGAGTCTCTACCCCCCAAGTAACACATACCCTGCTACCTTGTCCAAGCTTTCCCCAAAGCAAGCGATCTAAAAAAACCCAAAGGGGAGTCCTCCATTCCTATTTTTAGTCTCATTCACAAATGAACATAGTTATTATCTGACACAACTGTAAGGAGAAAAAAACCCAGCAAAACATAGAAACGTAAAGTTGCAAGGGACCTCCGGCAGTCATACAGTTCAACCCCTGCTTGAGGCAAGATCATCCCTATCCAAATCTTACCATACAAATCCTTTTTAACATATTGCTAGAACTATACAACCAACCCTGTTCCATAATTACAAGATTTAGCATCCTAATCTGATACAGGTACAACAGGGCAACAACAGTGGCCAATGTCCTGCTATTGCAAGGGTTGTTAAAATGCACTTAAGAAATCAAAGGAAGAGGGTCATACCCCCTGCTACAGAGGAAGGAAAAACCATCTACAATCTACACCAATCTGACTATGGGGTAAAACTGCATCCTGACCCTAAGTATGGCAATCAGACTGACCATGAGTGAAGGGGCAAGACCCCCTTAAATCAGTAACTTCCCAGTTTCAGTCCCAGCAGGAGCACTGGCATACCCCAGTCAAAATCCCCAATGCTTCTGCCAAAGGCAAAAAAAACCCCAAAACCAACCAACAAAACAAAAAACCCAAACCCTGATACCCATAACACCAGCAAAGGAAAACAAATCCTTACTGGTTCCCATATGATTTTTAAATCAACGTCACTTGTCTAATACATTTTAACTAGAGTAAAATATGTTTTGAGAGAAAAAGATTTAAGGCTGTTACTCAAGCTTATCTAATATTGCCTGCCACTTATGGTGACCAAAAACTTCTTGATTGTACTAAAGGCATTTGGGCAAAACAATTCAAGCTGTTAAGTCCCTGGGAAAGTACTCAAACTCTGAACTATGTATGTGCACTCCTGTGATATCTGAAACAGGATATGGTGGCCATGAGCCAATTCTCAGCCAGGCTGTTTACAAAGCCTATAATTCTAATTCTGAAGTGTACTGATATAATATAGTTTATGCTTCTGTCATTTTACAGCAAATGAGATACCTGAAATTTATTTATTGACGTTAAACAAATCACAGAAGAATAAGTTAATTCAGATAACAAAAGACTCAAAGTAAAAAAGGCCAATTCTGTGTATTACCAGAAGCTGAAGGGAACTTGCAGAACCAACGTTTTTTCTTAGTTCTCCATTTTCAAGGTTCATGTAGTGATTCTTAATGGGCGAGTAACTTAGCATGCAACTAAATTATGATCTACACCCCCTTTCCACCAGTGAGCATGTCCCACACAAGGTTCAAGCAGTGGACTCTGCCCTCTTGGATATCCACACCTGTCATGGCTACAGTTAGGGAGTATGCTGTAATTCAGGACACAGCACAACCATAATTAAAAATTCAGTAGAAAATCTCTGAGAAAAAAAGATGAGCTGGCCTGGACCCTTAGAAAAAAAACATCAGGTAAAACACATCATTGGTTTCCATAGCAGCCTTCTGCTTTTCCAAGACAAATCCATCTTTGAGGGCTTTTCCACAGACTCCGAAGTAGAGGCACTGGACATAATTTTCTTCCAAAATTTAATCAAGATTTGGATTATAGTTGCTATGTAACTGAGTAATGAAACATTCTTTATACAGGCAATCCTAGCTAGAGGGCATTCAGCAATATCTCAAATGGAGCCGGTCAGACCACACTGGAAGGCACATAATTGGAAAAGACTGCAACATAAAAGCTTATATGAACATTTAGTTTCCTACAAGATCACACACATGCAAAGAAAAAGAGAATAGGGAGAGGAGCCCCAGCAATGAATAAAGCTTGATGCATAGCTCGCTGAAGTCAACGAAGAGGCTCTAATTGACCTCCACAGTCCTTGGATCAGGCCCCTCAAGTATGTAGCCTACTTATGCATAGTTTAATCTCAGCACTGAAGACAAAGTTTGAGTCAAGAGCATGAAGCCATCAAGTTCTTTTCAACGTGCCTTCCAAAATGCATTAGTGCCCTTTGATACAACAAGCACATTCCTGTTTTGGAAATAGCTTTGATTACCACATCTTGATTTCCTAGTAGAGAAGGACATGTAGCTACTAAAATTAAAAAATGAGCATCAAAACGCAAGGCATGTTAATAGTTCACATTTTGACATCCAAGGTTATTTCACTTAATATGCATGTTTCAGGCCAGATCAATTCAGCTTCGATATCCTGGTCAATGGCAAATCTCTCATTGATGTTTACGACAGGAAGTATGGAACACTTAGAAGTACTCTGTCCTTCAGAACTATAGAGAGGTGTATGCTTTGGCAAGTTTCTGCTAACTTTAAATGTAACCTATGTTGCTTTCTGCCCTGAGTTTTAAAAGTCTATACAAGCAATTCTCGACTGGTTTTCCGGATCACAATGAATACCCAATCCAAAAACATTCACAAACACAGATTTAACAGCCCCCTAGTTTAGCCATTTCCTGCTGCCTACCTCTTCTTCCAAAAGGTTTTATTAGGAGGCTTGCTCCAAGCTCCTTAACAAAAAGGATCCCAGATTTGGTGTTGTCTCCTACTTAGTTACTGTTCCTCTACCCTTCCTCATTGGCTTAAATTCAGCATGCTGCCCTGCAAGAGGGGCTGAGCTACATGGCCATACAACACTACAAACAGGGAAACAGCTGATCAAGAGAAGGAAAAAAAGAGTTAGCTGACTCACAGGTGTCACAACCCAAAGTTGTGATTTTTGTTTTGTGTGCGCTTTGGCACCACTGAATTATTTTGGCGCTAAGATTACTGCTTCTTTGCACGGTGGAGTTTTCCGCTGCAGAGGAGAACCCCGGGTGCAAGGGGGGAATTTCCCGCCGTTTTGCAGCTTCTTTGCATGGTGCATTTCTTTTTGCATCTCAAGAAATGCTCGGTGCAAAGAGTTCCCACCATTTATATTAAAATTCGAGCCCCATTATTGGCTTGTGCTAAATTATGCACACGTGGCGGCTAGTGATTGGCTTGCTAGCCGTATAAAAAGCTTGAGTGGTTTCTGCCCAAGTTGGAGGACTCCACAACCATCCGGAGGAGGGATCTTCACGTCTTGTGAAGATCTCTAAGCGCTGCAGAGTTTAAACGGACCCACGGAGCCTAGCAAACTCCGTGAGAAAGAAATCGAACTCAGCGCATTTGAAGCAGGTAATAGAGGTCCGATCAGCCTCTAGCCTCTCCCCGTCGTCGATAAATCCAGAGACGTAACCCTTTCCGCGCGCAACGAACTGGACCCACGGAGCCTAGCAAACTTCGTGGGAGAGAACAAGCTTGTCGTAGTCCTCAAACAAGGATTTAAGTGGAGCTGTGCCTGGAAAACTGTCCAGCCTACACCGTGACCATCTTAGGTGTAAGTAAATAATCTTTAAATCAACCACTAAGCATCCGTGACTGATTCTAGCTTGTCGCCTGTTTTCTCCAATCCAGCGTGCCCGGGCTGCTGGCCACAGCCCGCGCGTACAAAAGGGCCCCGGATCTCTCCTCGGCGCGCACATG